TCCCATAATCACTCTAAATTTTCAGCGCGGCATGAGAGTAATACAACCAGTGACGTCACTAGGCTGTTTTGGCCGCGCCAAGATGGCCGCCAATTTTGCGCTTAACCAGCCAACTTCAAACGGCTGAAAAAGCAGTGTTCACTTACCGTATGCAAAAAAAAAAAGTATGCAGTGTTTCCAAGTAAGGTTGAAACTTTATTATTAAGCAAAAATCTCACATACGAAAATTTCGTTTCAGTAGCACTTTCGTGGTAACTAAGTTGAGATATCCAAATGCTTCCTTGACTGATACCCAAGTTCTGTGACATGGTCTATGAACACAGCTACCTCTCATTGCCCCCAGCCAGTGTGGCATTTTTTGCTAGAGACCGTCTCCCATTTACAGAAGAGCCTATACTGATGATGTCAACTACTAGATAGTAAAATGTCTTTAAACTTTGAGTTTAACTGTCTGTGCCAAACCGGCCAGGAGTGGTGAGAGGTGACTGTATTTGCTGGCTAGAGTTAGGCACTTGGCTGTACCCTCATTTCACCTCTCCCCTCACAGGAGATTAAGGTGGCTCCCTAGAGTATTTACGAACACCCTTCCTATAGAGCGCAAGTTAGAAAAGGAAAGATAGTAATTTCTCTTGAAGTTTTCCCTGGAGAGATTTACCAGTATGGGTACTGTTAATATAAGGCTTATTTTTTGATTGTCAATTTTTGAACCAAGGCCATTATCATGGCAACATCTCATCTAATGACAGGCAGATATGTTCCTCATTTTGGCCTGAACTCCTTAATATTTTTACTTTCCTTCAGTGAAAATTTTTCATACTTTGCCACATCATGGAAATAATATTGACTGACACTTTGAATTGGTTAAAAGTCAAGGTTGTTGAGATGGTTTTTCCAATATTCTGTAATTTGTCATTCTTCTAAATATATTAGATTAACTCTGACAGATTTAATAACAAAAATAGGGTATTTTATAGGAATTGTATGTGGTTGCAACTGAGCCAAATTTTAAAAAAATTCACCAAAGGAAACGCGAGAAAATTCACTGTCAGTTTTGCTTTTTGTGCTCATCTTGACGTCATAAAAATCGAAAAACACTGATGTTTTCCTTTGAGCGTGTGCAGATTACTTGAACTTTCATCCTATGTGTGCGTGCAATCATAAAACTATAGGGAGCCGCCTTAAATGGGTACTAGTAGACAGTAAACCTGTGCAAGCTGCAAAAGTTGACTGTAATCATGAATCTGTGATGCCATCACTCACTCATCCTCGTCACTTCTGTGAGTGGAGCATAAGGTTACAGCTGTGAATATGCCATACACTTGTTTAATAATTATGCTATAGATGGAAATTAGGACAAAAAGGTGTATGGATTTTTGGTTGACACACAAACCTTGAAAGAATTGGTAATTGACAAATATTTTATTACGATATATTTTTTTCAGCCTGGCAAAGTAGCTCCTATCTGGATGCCTGATTTTGGGTGCTACAACTGTACTGCCTGCAATATAAAATTTACACTTTTCATCAGAAAACATCACTGTAGAGGTTGTGGGAAGGTGAGCTGACTTTAATTCAATGGTTATTTGAATGCCAGTGACTGTGAAGATAATCCACCTATGCTATGTAGCCATAATTTCATAATATGAGCTGAAATGTTAACACAAAATCCGATAGAAAATCAAGCAGTTTGAGGTTTTACATGTAGTGGTCAAAAATCTGGTACCAGAATAATTTAAGTATTTTACAGTCATTTTAAAAATTTACGTTTTCGTAAATAATACTTAAATAATTGCCTGAAATAACACCGAGAACAATTCCCATGGGAACGAGAGAAAATAAATTTCAAAGTTCAGAGAACTTGTGCAAACACAGGCAAAATTTCATCATCAGTTTCATTTCACCAGTACTTTGAAGTGTTTCATAAGAAGTTCAACCTTCGTCTTTGACATTTGGTGTTGTTAGAAATGATTTTTTTTAGCAAATTTTTAAAACAGTTGTACAGAAGTTTGCAGAAGGTTTTTGTCCACTTGTTACTTGAACTTCTGGTGGATTCTGTCTTAAGCTCTTTGTACTGCATGAAGCATAATATGTGATGAAATGTTAACGGTTTTTCACTGCATGTTTAACAGATATTTTGTAATAGCTGCTGTTCCCAGCTGGCTAGATTTCCTTACATGGATTTCAAGATTGGTAGAGTTTGTTCTTCATGTGCACAAGCTATTAGAGAAGGTAATTTATTACTTATTTTCTTGTTTGATGAACTTCTAGTTTATTTTAAGATCCTAATTCTATGTAAGAAACACAGTAATTCATTTTATTGCTGAACTCATTTTGCAAGAGCATATTCAACAGATCTTATATTTGAACTGCAGAGCAAAATATGAAGACATGAAAGATCATTGTACATAACTTAAGCAGCATTACTGGTAGGCCTGATTGAGGTCTTGGAATCTGTTCAATCCTGGATTTTTTTTCAGGCTTTATTTTCACAGTTGCTTAAGTTGGACTTAAATACTGTGATATGTCTATAATAATTATGCAGGTGTCTGTATGAAGAGGGTGTCTGAAGTACAGGTACCACAGACTGTGAGCAAGTGCCCCCCCATTCCCCCCACCCCAGGCATACATTTCTTTGATGTAAAGTCTGGGGTTCCATATTTTTATGAGTTGGTAACAGATTCTTATGAAACTTTTCATATTTACTAAATTTTGGCATGTTAAATTGAGCAGTGAGGCTTCTTTTGTGGTGTTTGAATGAAAATTTCAGAAAAGCATGGCATGAGTAAAAAGTTCCATTGGTTTGCTAAATTTCTTCTTTTTTTAGTTACTCGTTTAATGAAAAAAGAAGATCCATCAAAACCAAGTCCTGGGCAGCAATCAGCAATAGAAAATCAAGGAGCTGCAGCATCTCCTGGGCTGTCTGCTCAGAAATCGTCTGCACTACAAACTAGACCACTACCTCAAGGTGTTGTGGTGACTAATGGTCAGGCACAGAGAAAAGCAACCACGCCTCCATCTGCACAGATTCAAAGATCGGCAACTCAGTCTGCTGCTGTGGTGTCATTACACCAGGGACTGCCAAGAGGTGTTTCAAACCAACCTGTCCAGTACCGACCACTAACACTGCCACCAATGTCCACTGCAGGGATGCGAAACACAGCAACAGCATTGCCTTTTTCGAACCCATCTGCTGCTGTTTTACCATTAAATCAGGGACTGCAGCCTGTTCAGTACCAGCCCCTGACTTGGCCACCAATGTCAACTGCAAAGGTTCAAAAATCAGCGACGCCAGTTCCTGCTCTTGTGCCATCAAATCAGTTACAACAGCCATCTCAGGGACTTGTTACACCAGCACAACCAGCTAATCAGTACATGTGGGTGCCCGCTTCTGCCATTCAGCAAAGCATGCCTGTCGTTTATGCCAACCCTGTTGCACCTAGTTTGCAGGGGGGACCAATGTTTGTCAGTTATCCCCAAGCAGGTCAGTTCATTCCGCAGCAGGCTCCAGTTGTGCTGATGACCAGTCAACCATCATCTACTTCATGCTTGCCTCGGACGACTACCGTTATGCAGGCTACAATTGCAACGACAAGTGAAAGAGCAAAGGGGGTAACCCCAGTTTCAAACAGGTCCTCAGGTGGGACAGTGACAACGTTCAGTGTTTTGCCACAGCATGTTGGACAGTCAGCTGTCCAGTCAGCTCAAAGGAATAATGTTGGAAGTGTAAGACAGCCAACAACAACTGTTAATGAAGCTTCTGTTGGCAGTGCCATGCCATCAGTTAGCAAACAGCCAGTGGTACCCTCCTTTCCCCAATCTAGTCATCAGACTACTTCATTAACCAGTCAGCTGCCTTCGACTACCCTTCCAATAACTTCTTCACCTCATCAGCCTCCAACTCCCTCTGCAACTACTGCATCACCATCCCAGAGATTGCCTGATGCTGTGGTAAGGAAATTCAATGAAGACAGTCAATCCCACGAAAGTGTTAATGGAAGCTCGCATTCCAGGGAATCAGATGGTAGTTTCCTTGTTGCTGATGAAACAGACCCAAGCTCAAAAGATTTCCATCTACCATTAAGAAGAGCGGGAAGGACCGTCACTTGGCGTTACAGGACCCAAGGGAAGAGTAAACTACAAGAGATGAGGAAGTCTTTGGCGAAGGATTTAAGAGGTAAGTGTTATTACATCCCAGGAGAGCTAGAAAGCTGATATTATAACAATAAATTATCCTAAGGTGTACTCTATAGACTATGTTGATACAGGTAGGGAGAATTAAATTCTTTGGGCCTGATAGAGTCCAAATAATGGACTTAGGTGTAAGCCAGTTGGACTAAAAAATGTACACCCCAACCACATTATGCTACTAGATCAACTGGTCCAGCTTTCACTTGAAGTGCAAACTGAGACCTCCCACTATAAAATAGACCATCCTGTCTTTGACATGTCTTAGAGCTTTTTCAGTGATATGGGTAAAGAACCTTTAGTATAGACTTGTAAAGAAGAATGACCGTTTAAGACAATCAGATATTTTAAGCTTGATGACAACTTTTTAAGAGGTAAATTCAAAAATTAGTTGGCTTGCACATTTAATTGACTCTTCTAAAGTCAGGTTCCTTTTAAGCTTTGTTTTCACTAGCAATTTTAACATAGCTTGCTTTTTAGTGAGGACAGCATTGAAGAAGAATGAGTGTGTTGATTACTCTATGGCTGTGCTTACGGGACACTATGTTTACACTTTCAATGCATATGCTTATCTTTGTATTTAAAAAAATGCCATAAAGCATTTCTTCAATTGTTATTGATGCCATTGTTATTTTTGCTGCAGATTTGCCAAATGGAATAACAGTTCAGGCCTCTCAAGACCTCTTGGTTCACATCAAGAAAATGAAATGTATGTATCCATTTTTTAGTGTGCAGGATTGTAAGAGAGCAGTAACTTGCTGGGTTGCTGACCAACCCCAGTCAGCTCCTTAAACTGAGTGAATAGTACTTAGTCTAGTGTCATTATTTTATAACCATTGTTAGCAGAATGTTGCTTGAACGCTAATGCAAATGCTACAATCTGATTGGCTGGGATATTTCACACTTTGAGCCATTGGTTTGCAAGTGCTGAAGTTCATCTCAACTTTATTTTCTCCATTTTGCCATAGTTTCAGAGGAATGTTTAGAAACATCACTGGATAATTAAGTTTCTGTGAAGGCTGAAAGACGGATGTTTAACTGTTACAGGACTTTGCTTTTTTAAAGAAAAACCCTTGAAATTGTTGAAAAAAACAGATGAATGAACCTACACAACTGCAGTTTTCAAAATTTAATGGCAATTCAGTCCATGCGATGTTGCTCAAACGTAGCATTTAATTCCCATTCAAGTTGATAGTTTAAGAGGCCTGTCAATGGATACTGATTTTAGATTCCTTCTTTTTTCCCACTGAGGATCATTAGTCAACCTAAGTGATTTTTAGCAGACTTTTCCTTTCATTTGCATTCAGTGAAAGAAGGAGAGAGGGACATTGCTGTGTGGTGCTATCAGAGTGACGGACTGAACAAGTTCAATCATTTAGAGGTTGTGGTTATGCTGGAAATGAGGAAAAAGGAAAATGTCTTTCCTGAGGAAGTGCTACGAGTTTACAGAGGCATATTACATCTTGCAAAATTGGGTAGGTACCCAACACAAAACTCCTTTTAATTACATTGTTTTCAGGTACATTACTTGACCCCACTGCAATTGTCTTTCAAATTACAGTTTGTTTGAATCATAAAGTACTATATTCGGATAAGCTACAGACCATGCATTTCTTTAACCACTTGATGTACTGTATGGAAGGATACTTAACAATGATTTCTTCTTGCATTCATTAAGTTAAATCTTCTTTTGGTTGGACTGCCTGAGCGTCCAACCATCAATTTATAGTATTTATTTATCTATGTTTTTGAGAGGAAAATAATTTACGTTCGTTTGAGCGTAGCGAATTAGAACGTAAATTCATTTTCTGTACTGTAATATTATTTTATCAGCGTCCATGGCCGACTTTTTGTTGAACTTATCAACCATTGAAATAGACACCTTCCGGGCTCACTGAAAAAATCTAAATAAGAATAGGGGTAAATGTGGCTAAATCGTTGCTAATTGACCCAATAATAACAATGTTCACTTTATCTGTCTGTTATTCCTACTGTTATGTAGGCTGTTGTTTTGTTGTTGAATGTGAAGGTAGTTTCTTTTCATCTTTGTGGCAGAAAATCGTTTTGAACATGGTAATTATTTATCAAGCAACAGTCAGTTTCTGGATGGCAGTGATGATGCTGGCTTCATTTTTGTGTCCAGTGAATTAAAGGTAAAAATTTAAATACCGGTATCTAGCAATTGCTGTGAGTGCATTTCATCGCCGAATTTACAGCTGAAACTTGACACTAAAAACAAAGGAAACAAGATAATGATGAAAAACAAACAGCCGGTCGACACGTGTGGTGTGCAAATGCTGCTCCTGACTTGCTGACCTAAACTCTGTAACAGGGTGAAATAAAAATAACCACTAACACTGTACATTCCTATATCCATGAAGCCCATGTAGGGGAGTACCTCCTGGGAATTAAACACCCTGATTGTATAAGAACATCTTTTTATTTTTGTCAGGTTATTCAATGTTTGCTTCTCTGTGCTTTTGCAGTCTAAACCACGGGGATTAAAAGAAATGAAGGCACCTTTCTTGTATGGCATTCTGGTGAAAAGATCTGAACTTTCTGCCGCCATGTTTACGCCAAGCAGACTTCTACTTCAATTGGGAAATAAAATGCAAAGTAAGTTGAAGAAGGTCTTGTGTTTTATGTCGTTTTTTTTTAATTTTATCCCCTTCCGCTCACTGATTGGAAACTCTTTAATTTAATGGACGTTTGTTGAGTGTTAGAGATGTTGTTGATTAACAATAAACAGTCGGAATACTAATTGACATAGTCTGTGAATATGTTTGTGAAAGAGTCTTCATCGGCAAGTACACTTTTCCAGTAATTTTATTTTCATTTTACTACCCTTACATGATAATAACTCGACCCTCGGTGTAGGAAAAATAAGTTGGAATTAAGAGTCATTTCCAGAAATGGCTCACAATTTCTAGAAACAGCCAGAGGCAAAATTTCCGATGTTTCGTAATTGATTTTGGATACAGTAATTAACACTTTGCAAATGTTTGAAGTGCTCTAGCTAGTACACATTGAAAAATGCTTTTTGACTGAAAAGCATTTTGCCATGACTTGATTTTCTGTGGCCAACAAAATTTAAGTTTGAAAATGCAATGTTGATCGTCTTCGTTTACATTAAGTGATGCTTCATTGAATGAATATTTCATGGACGTACTTGTATTTCAGCAGATTTGCAATACAGTTGGACTCCGCTATATATATTCAAAGTCTTGGGGAGAAAGAGAAATAATTCAAAACAGTAGAGGCCTGAAGAAACTGAGTCAGTATTCAACGTAACCTGCGATCAAGAGATTGGCATTTGTAAATTTAAATGTCTTGGTCAAGCACACAACGTTCAGTCAATCAATCAATCAATAACTTTATTAATGTGTCAAATACATTCTAGCCGAGGATAAAAAACCCTCTACTAATGGGGGACACATAAAATAAATAAAATAAATTATAAAATTTAGAAACCTAAATTTGATATTTACAATAAAAAGAGACTAAAATTTAACTTCATTATTTACAGTAATTCCAACAATTCTAAAATAATTCAATCGTAAGTAGATCGTGTGCTACATAAAACACAGTTCTCGCATTCATGTTCAATTTTCTGTGAAAGATTAGTTAACGTGATCTGTCTTTTAAAAGATCTTTCACAATGATCCTAGAGAGCGTTTGAATTGCAGTCCTGAATACGGATCTAAAGCTCTTCAGGGCAGTAAGACTTAAAGCAAAGGTCCCTTGTGTTGAGACTGTTTTCTCTTTCATCAGGTTTTCCGTTCCCGTTGTGGAACAATCGAGATCGAAGAGCTATCAATCTTGGTATCCAACAGGACGACAGGTTCTTCCACACATTGTTTGCCATGAACAAGTACCTGGTGTGTATGAAACCCTTTTTCACTGTTCTTTTATTCCTCTCAATTATTTTCAATTAACTTTGATACATTATGTTTTGGAACTACCCTTCTTCTTTACTTAACACTCTTTTTCCGGAGACGTGCTTTTAAACAGAAGTAAATATTAAACTCCCGTGTGTATTTATGCACTGTTGGCTTATTCAGTTTATGATTTAAAATACGCCTGGTGTAAACGCAGGTCTCCTGAATTCCTAGGGAGCCTTGAACATTTTAACATATTACACTCACTTGCTAACGCAGCGTAAATATAAGAGTTTGTATGGGAATGTAACCATCGTTCAAAACAGTTCGAAATATGGAAAAGAAATTCTATTAGAACGACTTACTTCGACTCTTCTGTGTTTACTTGCGTTCTGTGGCGTTCCGGTCGCCGTCTCAAAGCGATTTCAGCGAGTATTAGTTTCACCGTGTTCCTCAAGATATGAATGAATTCCGCCACCCTCAAAAAATATTGGCATCAAAATAAATCAGTCCCCAGAGCCGCTATAGTGAATTTCTCTGTGGTTAGTTTGATCCTGTTGCTCCCAAGAATCCCAATGTTCCGCAAGACAGAAGTATATCTCTAGTGACATGGATTTTATTTCGTAAAATACCCAGAAGCAAACACGAATATATGGAAACACTGCTCGGCATCTCTAATTTGAATGGTCACAGTGTAGGGTTTTAATTGTCCGTAAACCCTGACGTTAGAAATTATTAGTTGTTGTACAAGGCACAAGAAACTGTAGCTCATGAAAGTTCTGAGCAATTTTGCCAGCTTTTACGGCTTTTCATCTACTGAATGTCACTAAAAGTTAATGCCAAATTAATTGACTCTGAGAGTCAAAGGACTGTATATTATGACCACACTACTATTCCCTTGCTGATTGGTTGAAAGAGGTTCCTATAGTCTAATTGAAGGACGCACTGTCTCAATGCTTTACCGATTTTGTTTAAAGATGGTTTATTAAAACTAATCACAAGCGCCAATTCACGTGGATATTTTGTTTCTTGATTGAAATTTGGCTTTGTTAATTTTCTTAACTTCCGTCTTTGTTTTTGTCGCAGAAAAACGGTGTACCCGAGGCCATGGTTCCTGGGCTTTATGTGGTGAAAGAAGACAATAAAATTATTCTTCAGGTTCCCAGCAGTGGTCAGAGTGCGGTATGTGGTCATATTTGATCGACATCTAAAATCTCCTTGTTAAATAAGTACATTGTGAAGCAGGCAGGTGACGAGAATTAGAAAATGCAATCGTGTAGTAAAGATGTCTTGATGGCAGATGTTAATACGAATGGGTGGAGACTTTGCGAAGAATTAGTGTAAAACTTGGCTATGTGACCTTGGTTACATGAAATATAAACACGCAAAAACTTTGGCTGCGTTCATTTACCTCAGCGAATTTCTGCCATTGCTAAACAGTGTTTGGCTTTAGCAATAAGTCGTGAATGGAGTGTGTTTACGAGGCGCGGTGGCCTCATGATTAGTGCGCTCGTCTCTGGATCGAGCTGTCTGGGTTCGAGCCTTGGCCTGGGACATTGTGTTGTGTTCTTGGGCAAGACACTTCACTCTCACAGTGACTCTTTCCATCCAGGTGTATAAATGGGTACCGGCGAATTTAATGCTGGGGGGTAATCCTGCCATAAACTAGCAACCCATCCAGGGTGGAGTAGAAATACTCCTATTCGCCTCATGCTATAGAAACCGGGATAAGCTCCAGCCTGATGAGCCACTTGGCTCGTATGCAGACTTTACCTTTTACCCTTGATGGAGTGAAAAACTGGCTACTTACACTTAAGCCACAAAAAAGTGGCGTGAAAAGCATCACAAAACTAATCAAACTGCAACTTGATGTTATCGACTAAAGGGAATGAACGCACTCCTTGTGGAGAACTACAAAGGGGTTCAACTCCACTGATGATTTATCCTTTCACATTGAAAACGGTCTTTGATCGACGATTTTTTAAAAAAAACAAGACTTTTAAGACCTCTTTTATCGCACTGCAAAATGACTCTGCTCCAGATGGGGAAAACTGGATCTTTTCTAGAGGTTATGTGTCACCATTAAATTCAAGGATTTCGTATGCCTGCTATTTGATATCTCGAGAAGGGAAAAATTCTCCTCTACAGGCGTCTAAAGAGAAGTCATTGCCGAGATATTTTGGTTCCTTGTACCCCAAACAATGCTGCATGTGCTTTCACACCCGCTTCTTATACATTTTTAGTTTCCCTTTTGCAAATAGTTTTTGAAGTCTCATTGTCTGCAAAAGAATCTTTGTCTTGTCCACTTAAAGGTTTATATGGTGGCCCATATACTGGCCTCCTAGAGACTACGATTTAATAATAGTGTTCTTTCCTAATGGTCTGTAGATTGTGGGTCTGTTGGATCGTCTGGTAAAGAAGGAAGATCAAACAGCTACTGTGCCGCTATTGGCTGACATACCTCCTTATGTGGATAACTGTAAGATTGTAGTCTGCAATGAACGTGGAGGAAATACTGTACAGACATTCGGAAATACAGCTAACAAGTCAGGTACATACAGCAAGTTATTAAGAGTTTTCTTCTCAACGGGGCGGACTCTCATGTTAAGTGGGCAGCAGGGCAGGGGTGCTTGTCGGAAATTTTGAGTAACGGGAATTTTGAAATTTTGAATTGCGGTTAACCTCAAAGGGGACTGATCTGGGCGTCGCCTAAGCGTGGATTGAACCACAAAAGATACATTTCTACACGGACACAACACTGAGACCTTTAGTCAAGCCAATAACGATCAAGTACTTTAACCTGCTAAGAAATTTTATAAACCATCAGCACAGTGTGACGGGTAATCCTGCAAGATACCTTAAAGTAACAAAATCATGTTGTTTCTGTCCTGAAGGCCCTAAACGAGATCAAAATCTTAATTGTACAACGACCAGCATCCCCACCCCTTAACATGTAGTATGGGGGGATCTCTTTAACTGTAGTCCGTTTAAACCAGCACTTTATAACCATCCCCATAAGCTGTTATATAAGCGCTCTGACACTAAGTTTTGTTGATCAGTTGTAGGTCTTAGTTTTCTGTTGCTTCATCTTGGAGTAGATGCCTCTTCGCCTCTCAGCTTTGGAGGAGAGCTTCTAGATGGTAAGCATGAAATTTAAATTAGTTGAACCTCTGCTAGAGGACACCTTCCGTAGACAGACATCAAATTGTGATCCTGTTGATTTTCTTACTAAAATGCTCTTGTTAGCAGAAACATACACCCTGGTTCAAGTCTTGTTGGCCATAATAACATCTCATGAGTTGATAGTAGAGAAAGAGAATCAAGACTGAAATACACGACAAATTAGAGCTGCATCTTGCGTTAATACAATAAGGGCCCACTGAACAGAAAACAATGATCAGTAACTATGTGCGTATATCTAATAAAGGTGAAGCTAATAGGAAACATTGGTTAATAGTGGAGTCGACCGCAATCTACCAGTACTCAGCGAACTTTATGCCAGCTGAGAAAAAAACATCTTCTGAAAACTTGAACCTACGCGACAGTTGTTTGCCATTTCCATTTCATCTGAAATGCACTCATAGCAAACATACGGTACATACTGTTTCAGTGAATCCTTCACTTTTGAAATTCGATGGTAATTTTGAGTCGATTATATGGTTTGGTTAAAAAAACTCTTTGGAGCGTAGAAGAGAGAAGAAGCTGAAAAAGCTTTCAGGTTTATACAGAACTGGTATTTGTTAGGTATTTATTGCCTAGTCTCCCACGCCATGAAAACTTCACGTCCGATTTTTTTATATCAGATTTTAGGTTTAGACTTAACTCACTGTTTTACGTGCTTTAGACTATCATTAGACTTCGTACGTCTACAATAGAAAATGTTTACATTAAACGATTGTAATCAATTTACGTATGAATATCTCCAATTGCCAGAGAAAAGAGAGAGAAAGATACTGAACTACTGACTGATAAGTTGTCGTACAATCCACCATCTCCAAGGACGCTGTTTGATATCTCTGGTTGAAGTTTTTAAAATTTCTTTCACCGGCAGATGGTGTGCTACTTTTCTTCTCTAAGAGCCACACGCAAAAGCTCCGCGAAAGCTTGGCATCCAAAGCCAACTGTTATTTCTTCCTGGGCGATAAATTTAACATCGCACACTTCGAGCTGCGTTGGGTGCCAGACGTAAATTATCATGAATTACCAAAACCAGCGAAAGACGCCGATTTCCCAGAAAAGACAGACAACCGGTTGTCTGAAACAACCACTGCCGATACAACAGCAAAAGAAACCGGAGGCGATTCGTACCCAGGCACTGCGACCATTGACATTCGGTACTCGGGGTATGGGAACGAGGTTGAACTTCTGAAGAAAGTGTTCGACGACACTGGGAAGATTCTGAAAATCCTGGAAGGTAACATTCGGCAAGCGTGCACCGATCCACTCATGAAACACGCCAACAAGATGAGGCCTGGTGAGAACCAGGAGTTACAGCTTCGTGTTGTCCTGAGGTCGAGTTACAAGGTAAGAAAAATGTGGTGAGAAGTGCTCACATTTTCACAAACACAAACGCGCAAACGCAAACTTGAATGGCTTGTTCCCTCTATTAGACGTACCCGCAGGTAATCATGGTAGTTGTATTCATCAAAACAAATATCCAGTCCAAGGTGATGAATACAACTACCATGATTTTCTGAATACACGTCTTATAGAGGGAATTGGCCATTAAAAGTGCTTTACGACAGATAAGCCTAAGCTCCCCCTGTCGCAAAAGCAATAAGGGGTTGTCTTTCAATATGTAGCTTTGTCCCCACCTTGTCGTCCTGCAAACATTTCCCCGCAACTTTTTTCATGTCTGATGCCAATCCTTGCCGGTAACCTGACCAGAAATGCTTGCGCTGCTGGCTACTACGCCGTCGCGCAAGTGTAATGGGGACACTTTAGGTTTGGTTGACAAGCACCTGTTGACCCCCCACTTAATGTTGGAAACGTGGGGCATTTTTCAACTAAAATCATTTTCTCCTTTACAAGTGAGGAGGAGGACGGAGACGTGTTAAGTGTGGCAAAGCTAAAAAAGCTAGTAAAGCTTGTTGAACTAGTGATGGATAGTGTTTATTGTTGGTGTGGACATTTCTTTCTTGCCTCACAGGCTGCATTTTTATTAGCAGCACCAATTCTTAGCGGCAGCTGTTAGGGAAGGGATGGGGATGGAAGGCGTATTAAAGTCTGACACATCCTAGTGAGCTCTCCTTCCCTTCACCACCCACTCTAGCTACTCTAAGAGCTGCCAAGAGAGTTTGTTGCTTTAGACAAAATCGTGTTTAAATAAAAGATTGTTGTTGTTGCTATTGATCGCAGGCTAGCACTGAAAAGGGTTCAAGTCCTTGAGAACCCTGAACCCTGAGAACCCTCTTTGCTATGTGTGTTCGCGCAAAGCGCTCTTTGAATGATTGTCTTTAGGTTAAGGAACCTGACTAAGGTCTTTGTTGCATGTTTTTGTTGGCTATTTTGGGGATTGACCCTGCACAAAACCTGGCGAAATACAAAACGTGGTTATGTGGGCTCATACAACTAACCAATAGAAGCATTGCGATGATGTAATTCAGGCATAGTCAGTGAGTATAACACAAAAGATGTGGAGGGTCAAGGACCTCCCAACATAAATCTCAGCCTGTTTTTTTTGCTTCTTTGATGTTTACCGTGTTTCTTAACAATTTCCCTCTATGAACTCTCAGTAAATGTTTTCTTATCCAAATGTAGAAATGGTCTGTTGGCCCCAGTGATCTTCCCACAGCTCTTATCCGGTCTCTTCAGATGGCTCTTCACACGGTCCAAGTTCCTGTGGTGTTCGAGGGGGAACTGGTGATGAGTTTTGATGTCAGTGTTGTTAAACAGTAGTGTGCCATGTCACAGAAACATGGTGACAATAATGCCTTATAACAAGAAAATGCAAAGCGATTAATTTAGAATTACAATATTTAGGTTAATGTTGGTTCACATACAGTGACCGGAAGTAGTCTATGTAGGAGATGTAATGAAATTTTTGTTCACTTGGAGGGTTACTTCCGGCTAGGAGGTTGTATAGTTTCTAAAGAAATTTGTGCAAAACCGGGCTAACTTCAAAAATGAAGTCCGTCAACGACGCAGAAATACCCCAAGGGTCATATATCAGTTTGAGTGGTCTCGCGAAGGTAACTTGAACAAATTGAGTAGAGGTTTAATATATCATTTATTGGGTATTCCAGGCCTCAACTTGAGACGTTTGACACTTATGTCTAGGTTTATAGAAAATAATCTGGGTACACCTTCCTTTACCAGTCCCTGTATGACGGGCTCTTCAGATACTTGCTTGTCTGTCTTAGAAATGTATCATCCCTTACCTTACTGTACTGGGAAGATGAATAACTGTAGTTTACACAGCAACTTTGTGGTTAGCCCCAGCATTTTTAACATACTCTTTACTTACAACAAAACAACAACAAAAACCTTTATTTCACCCCAGACAACGTTTTGCTAGAGTAAAAACAAGAATGATAGGGGTGCCGGCTACCCGAAATAACTTATGAGGTCAAAATGCCAGGCAGCCAGTCAAAAGAGAAGGTATTTTACATGGTTAGGTCAGGGACACAAATAAACAAACAAGCAAACAAACAAACAAACAAACATAGACACATACACACAAAATAATCGAAATATACAAAGTTAAGCTAAGTTAAGCAACGTTATTACGTACAAAACGTTTTACTAATTGCCATCCTTGGCTACCTGAAATTTCCATATAAGCTAAAAAGATAAGGACGCCAATAGTTATAAGATTATACAAATAGAAATAATGAAGTCAAAGTTTAAATCCCACACCAATCAAATCATATTTTACCGAGAAATAATTTTGTTTATACCAACTTACAAGTTGATTAAAATAACGTTTCCGTGTAGCTTAAAGTAATAAGACGGTGCAGGAAAAAGACACAACATTTTTTGAGAAAAGAAAAAGACAAAAAAAGTAACAAAGTAAACGGATGGTTTAAAAGTCAAGGACGGCAACTGTCTGTCAGGAAAAATATGAAGGTACCTAAAGCAGGAAAGGCGCGTTTGTTAGTCAGACGGTTGATGGTTTATGTTGGATGTGTTTTGGGTGTGTTCATGTATTTCTATTTTGAGACGGAAATAATAATGAACTCCCATGTGAAGGAAACTCTCCTGTCTTTGGGTACACAAAGGAATGCTTTGCTTTCCCCTGTTTAATTGCAAGCATTGCATTGTTGTGCAGAAAATGTTCGTGTGCGGGTTATTTTTTTAAAAGGTAACCCACTCTGTAGTAACTTGTAAAACACTGCTCAGTTCTGCGACCTATCTTACACTTACAAGTTACGTTTTTATAAAAATTCTTGAGGTGTAACGTAGAGAGGTCATGCTCGCTGTTAAACGGTCTGAAACTTATGGCAAAGCAAAAATGTTACTCTTGCTTGCCGCCGCCATAACGATCTCTGAGGGAGTGGATTTGGAGACAGAAATGTTATGTATCCGTAAATATTTGATATGTTCATAAGTTATAGGATTCTACGCCCCGTCCACACTATGCCGGAGAGGAATTTGAAAACCGAACAGTCACCGGTCATTTTGGATTTGTATTTGCTGAAAACTTCGACAGGGAAATCACATGATTACCCTGGAGCCATCGTTTTCGAAAAGTTCCGCGCGTTTTGGAATGTTTTC